AGAGCCAAGAAGCACTTCGGCACGTCAGCCCCAAGGAGCTTTTCCGACACATCCTGGCATGGGGCGGACCATCTTCAACCCTTGGGGTTCAGAGGTTTAGGGGTTGAGGGTTTAGGGTTTTAGGGTTTAGGGCTTAGGGTTTAGGGTTTAGGGTTTAGGGTTTAGGGTTTAGGGTTTAGGGTTTAGGGTTTAGGGTTTAGGGTTTAGGCCTTGGGGCTCAAAATGCACCCTGAACCCAGAAGCCCTGTAACTCATCCTAAGTCGCTGGGACGCTGCGGGAGGCTGCGATAACTCAGGTGGAGTCACGTGATCATGATCCTGAAAGAACATGGCAACCCTAAACCCTAAACCCTAAACAACTCTAAGCCGTAATTCCTAAACCGCACGAGCCAAGAGATGGGCCCACAGGGGCTTGGTGCTTGGTAGCCCAGTAACCATATTGTACTAAGAGTACCCTTTTGTGGTTTGGTTACCTTCTAAGGGAACCTTGAGCCACAAAAAGAGGGGCTACCAAGAGGCGGCTTAGGGCGGGTTCAGGGTTTAGGGTTTAGGGTTTAGGGTTTAGGGTTTAGGGTTTAGGGTTTAGGGTTTAGGGTTTAGGGTTTAGGGTTTAGGGTTTAGGGTTTAGGGTTTAGGGTTTAGGGTTTAGGGCCAATGTGCAACCCAGCAGCTATCAGGTCGGCCGGTGTGAAGGTCGCTCCTGCTTCAGGCGGATTCAGGGCTTGGGGTTTAGGGTTTAGGGTTTAGGGTTTAGGGTTTAGGGTTTAGGGTTTAGGGTTTAGGGTTTAGGGTTTAGGGTTTAGGGTTTAGGGTTTAGGGTTAGGGTTCAGGGCTTAGGGCTCAGGGCTCAGGCCTCAGGCCTCAGGGCTCAGGGCTCAGGGCTTAGGGCTTAGGGCTTAGGGCTTAGGGCTTAGGGCTTAGGGCTTAGGGCTTAGGGCTTAGGGCTTAGGGTTTAGGGTTTAGGGTCTAGGGTTTAGTGTTTAGGGTTTAGTGTGCGCGTCGGGTGTAGGTTTCAGCCTTCGGGTTTTAGGGGCTTCGGGTTGTTCAAGGTGCCAGGGCCCTCAGACATCAAGCCCCAAATCCCAGGCAGCCCGTCGAAAAACGCAAAAAACACCGAAACCCTTCCGGAACCTGAAACCTTAAACCCTTAAACCCTTAAACCCTTAAACCCTTAAACCCTCAAACACTTAAACCCTTAAACCCTGGGCCGAAACCCTAAACCCTATGCCCCCAAACCCTACACCTTACACCGCGGGAGAATCCTGGAAGCTCGCATCGCGGAAGCCAACCCGTGCAGAGTGCTGCCTGAAGTGCTTGGCCTGCCAGAAACCCTAAACCCGAAACCTTGAACCCCCAAACCCCAAAACCCAAAGCCCAGAACCGTATACCCCAAACCCCAAACCCGAACCCTAACCCTAAACCCTCCTGAATTCCTAAAAACTTGAATTAAGTTACCATCACACTTGGAGGTACATGGGTGCTTATACAGAGGGCTTAAGCAGGGTGAGCATCTGGTACTCATTGGGGTCCTATAAGGGGATCCTACTGGGGTCTATTTAGGGGTCCCCGATGTTCGTAAGCCCCCATCGTTGTAAAGGGTTATAACCTTTTAGCTTCTGGCTTTGAGACGTGATTCGGAAACCAACCCTGGTATGGGCCAACCCTAAACCTGCAAAACCACACAAACCTTCATGTACTGTTCTGGTCGGTATGACCAGTATGCCCTAAACCCCTAAACCCCAAATTAGAAACCGGAGTTCAAGGAGCAACTTGTCGCAAACTACCTTGAGTCGGAAACTACCGTCCGAACGCAACCCTAAACCCTAAACCCTCAACCCTCAACCCTAAACCCTAAACCCTCAACCCTCAACCCTAACCCCTACAGCTCCATTTACGGCTGCCTGTGGCCCCGAGTTCAGAACAACCCCCGTTTTTCTAGAGCTCTCCCCGGACGAACGTCCCTTGCTAGGGATTTCCTCTTGTATATCTTGGTAGCCCAGTAACCTTCTTATGATAGGGGCACGGTTTAGGGTTTAGGGTTTAGGGTTTAGGGTTTTGGGTTTAGGGTTTAGGGTTTAGGGTTTAGGGTTCAGGGTTTAGGGTTTAGGGCTTAGGGTTCAGGGTTTAGGGTTTAGGGCTTAGGGTTTAGGGTTGGTTACCTTATCATGGAAGCTTCAGCCCAAAAACGGGAAAGGGTACCACTGGGCTACCAATATGTAGAGTACTAAAGGCGCCGCCAATGCTTCAACACTTTGAGCCGCTGATTCTGCGAGAGGACACTTGCTTGCTGCTTCAGACAGCGGAGCGGCGGATTCCGTGGATTTAGGAACCAGCTCGGTTCATGCGCTTGGGACCGTGGAGGAAAAGTTCCCCGAACTGCGATAGATTGTGGGGGGGAGGGGGGGGGGGGGGGGGCTGCATCTCATTGATGACAGCCTTTTGAGTGTAGACCCTAAACCCTAACCCCTAAACCCTAAACCCTAAACCCTAAACCCTAAACCCTAAGCCCTAAACCGGCCTCTTTGCAGAACAAGCCGTTGCACCTTTGCCCCGTGCAGGACTTCGGCGACGGCAGGGACGCTTCTGTCAGCAAAGAACTTTGCCGGGAGCCTGGAAAGCAAGCCTGTGTGCCAAGTGACTCTGCAGTTCGGGGCTTGGGGTTTCGGGTTTTCGGAATGTAGGGGTGGACCCTAAACCCTAAACCCTAAACCCGGTATTGGGGGCCCTCCCAGTGGGACAAACTCGACTAAGATCGACCAGGAACTGTCCAGTTCACACACGCAGCGCTGCACTTCGGGTTGGTGTGGCCGGCATTGTTCCTCCGCACCAGTTCTTGAGCGCTTAACCCTAAACCCTAAACCCCCTAAATCCTAAACCCTAAACCCTAAACCCGGGTTCAGGGAGACCCAAACCCCAAAACCCAAAACGCAAAACCCAATACCCAAAACCCAAAACCCAAAGCCCTAAAACCCTAAACCCTCAAGTTCCGTTCAGGCCAAAGATAGTTGCGCACTCGGAGGGCATCTCGGGTTGTGGAGTTTAGGCGGTCTAGGAGTGCCTAGACCCAAGAGTAACCTAGGGATAAAAAGGGCGCCCTTTTTTGGTTTAAAGGGAAGTAAAAGGGAACCTGGTAAGCCCTAACAAAAAGAGGAATAGGGGCCTACTCTGGGTCCTAGCTACAGAAGTATCCATGCCTACCCCCGGCCTCCCATACAATCAATTAAGGCAACTCTTTATGGGATGGGGGGGGGGGGTGCAAAAAGATAGGTAGAATCAATCTTTAAGGGGGAGCGGGGGGGTGGGGGGAGGTGTGCCCCCCGCAGCCCATTAACTCATTAACTCATTGATTTTCATGCCAGTAGGGTCGGGCTCGCTTGTTGACCAACCAAACACTCGAGAAAAGAGAGCTAGCATTTGTGACGTAATTTCGGCTTCCGGAGTGCTATACTGAAGCAAACCTTCGAATCGAAGGCCTAAGCGTTTCAGGATTTAGGGTTTATAGGGCTTAGGGCTGTGCTCACCCCGTGCCTCCGCCACCCTGCTCTCGAGCTCGCGCGTTCCACCTCGGCACACAAGAGCAGCCAACATGGTCCATGCAGGGGTTCTGTAGGCAGGTATACGCTATGAGGGGCCTCAAGAACAGCATGTCACAAAGATCCCACAAAGCAAAACACCCAAACACCTAAACACCTAAACACCTAAACACCTAAACACCTAAACACCTAAACACCTAAACCCTAAACCCTAAACCCTAAACCCTCGGTTGCTGTCCATCCCGAGCCGCAGTGGCCGAGTCCCTCCTCCTCGCCTCCTTAGTAGCCCAGTAACCACACAGAAAGATGGGCACCCCTTTTTTTGGTCGGTTACTTTGTAAAGGAACCCAGAACCAAAAAAAAATCCTAAACCCTAAACCCTAAACCCTAAACCCTAAACCCTAAACCCTAAACCCTAAACCCTAAACCCTAAACCTAAAGGGTACCACTGGGCTACTGAGCCTCCCAGAGCACCCTCAACTTCAGGCTGCCTCTTTGGCTCCATCGCTGTAGGGCTCGTCACGGTGATGCGACCTTGGTAGCCCAGTAACCATCTTAGAATATAGTACAATATACTATAACATCCTATAATATACTATGATATACTATGATATACTATAATATACTATGATATACTACAATATACTATAACATACTATGATATACTATGATATACTATGATATACTACGATCATATGCGATAATAAGGGCACCCTTTTTTGGAGGGTTGGTTGCTTCACAAGGGACAGAATCCCAAAAAACAAAAAAAAAGTAAAGGGTGCCACTGGGCTACCATTGTGGCCGGTATCTGGAACATCCCGGCCCTCTGCCGATGGGCTCCTTAACGCAGAGTCCTCCTCCGGCCTCTCGTACCTCTGCCCCAAGCTCGTGTCCTGCTCCAGCGTGGCTGGCCTGAGAAGCACGGGACTCACACATGCACGCGGCGCCACTGGCAGGTCATCCGCCTCATCCATGTACCACGAATCCCGGCCCGGCGCTCCTTCAGTCAACGGCCTGCTGTGAGTCGAAGCCCTGCTCGCAGGCGACAGGTCTCTGACATGTGAATCTGTGGGGGCCCGTCCCACGGACTCAGTTTCAGAGGCATGACCTCCTGAAATGTCCCCACTGTCCCCAGAAATTCCTGACGCAAGTGGCTCAGGACGGGCCCGCCGTCTCCACAAATGGCTGCTGCACACCTTGCCCCAGCTTTCCTCCGCCATCTCCCCTCTTCCCAACCGACCCTCTTCGCACTGCGTCCTCACGCAGGGGTCCGAGCTTTCTTCTTTGGCTTCGGCCTCGGTAGGGGATCCTGAAACAGGCTCGCCGCGCACGAGGCTCTGGCTCCAAGGGTCCCGCCCATTCCTTGGTAGCCCAGTAGCCTTCTTACAATAAGGGCACCCTTTTTGGGTTGGTTACCCTATATTATAAGGGTTTAGGGTTTAGGGTTTAGGGTTTAGGGTTTAGGGTTTAGGGTTTAGGGGATACGGGAAGCTTCAACCCCCAAAAAAAGGAAAAGGGTACCACTGGGCCAACAGGGATTTCAAGAAGATGCCAAGGGCCTACCCAGACACGATCCGGCTCCGGCAGCGTCGAGAACTGGGCGGTCCATGGGTACTTCTAAGTTGGGCTTTCAGAAGGGCAACTATGATTCTGACCTTACTTGGGGGGGGGGGGGGGGGGGGGGTACTTATAAGCCTACCTATAAGTGCCCATGAACGTCCAAGAGCCCCGTGCTTCAAAGCCTGAGTGGTCCCTTAGAAGCAATAAAAAACTCGAACGACGAACCACAGGTCTGAAGAACAGGCCTGGCCATTCGCCCACGGATCTGGACCGGCTGCCTCTGCCACAACGGAGGGCGCCTGCAAGGCTGGCGTCTGACCTGGGTTTAGGGTTTAGGGTTTAGGGTTTAGGGTTTAGGGTTTAGGGTTTAGGGTTTCGGGTTTAGGGTTTAGGGTTTAGGGTTTAGGGTTAGGGTCATACTGTCCAAGAACCAAAATACACACATGCGGCATCAGGTCCCACGTTCACACGCAATCTATGTTCGTTAGTAAAGAATGGTGCTTCTCACTACCTTGGGCTGTTGATGGGCTTTACACTCTTCTGGCGAACCACTCCGAAATATTGCGAAATATATACGCCCCTTTCCCTTTCAAACAAACCCCAAACACATCTCAGGAGCTCCGACGAGTGCCAGCAAAGGCCAGACCCTAAACCCTAAACCCTAAACCCTAAAGCCTAAACCCTAAACCCAGCTCACTCTCGGCGACTGTTCAGACAAGTTGCCGGGGTCGCTCCCCAAACCTGCATGCTGCAGCACCCGCTGCCAGTGCCCGAACTTGCACTTGGGGCCATAGGAGCAGCAGAGCGCGTCCTTAAGAGCTGCAGACAAAAACGCCCAAACCCATAAACCCTAGACCCTGAACCGTAAACCCTATGCACCCTAAACCCTCAAAGCCAGAAGCCTACCAAATTTCGAATCCGAATGCCTTCAGTGCCTTCAGTGTCTCACTCAAAGCCTGGGCGGCGACCGGATTCTGGGTTTCAGGACCCTAAACCCTAAACACTAAACCAAAGTCCGCTTTAAGGCGAGGCGCTTGAGAGGCATCGACCGCCGCAGGTAGCACATGCAAGTACCTTGGGAACGTTTGGGAACCAAAAGAAGGGAAATGCAAGCTATAGATTTGGGATCCTGCGCCCCGCGCTATGGCGCTATGGTAACTCTTCTCCGGGTATATTCACAAACCCTTTTGGGCTTCATTTAGACCCCAAGGTACTTCCCATGCGTCGAGTCGTGAGTGCACCCACCACGCACGAAATAGCAGCAGTGGCACGCCAGGGCCACTTGGTCACCTGACCTTAGTAGCCCAGTAACCACAATATAATAAGGGTGGGGTTGGTTACTTTACAAGGGAGCCTTGAACCCAACAAAGAGGGAAGAGGGTACCACTGTGCCACCAAGTGACAGCGACGTCTTGAACTCCAGGAGGCTTTGGTGGCTTGCGCAAAACCTCTGGGGACCACCGGCCTCCGAAATAGCCTGACGATATGAGGGATTCTGCCCATAGAAGAGGCCCAGCTCGTCTGCTGGCAAGGCTTTGCCGCGCTTCTCAATGAACACAGCCAAGCGAGCCGCAACTTGTGCGGCAGTGGTGCTGGCAGCCAGACTGACTCGCCAGTGCACTCCAGGCCCGTTGTCCGAGATATTGAAGTGCCTGGGATGCTTCTCACAGAACCCTCGCAAGTTGTTCTTCAGGGCAGCCCGATGGTGTGGATACGCGGTGTAGAAGCCGGCGAAGAGATTGGCAGCAAGGCCGGCAGCACCACTGCCACTCTGCTGGATGAACCCGACGAGATCTGCCACAACCTTATCGCCCAGTAACTATATTCAAATCAGGGCACCTTATTTTAGTTGGTTGCTTTGTAAGGGAACCCTAAACCCTAAACCCTAAACCCTAAACCCTAAACCCTAAACCCTAAACCCTAAACCCTAAACCCTAAACCAAAAAAGGGTAAAGGGTACCACTGGACTACCAAAGCAACTTGGCCTTCCCTGCTCTCAGCGCTTGCACCTTGAGGGCGCAGGCGGATGCAAAATCCAAGGTCGTTGCCACCACTCCTTCTCTTGTTCATTGTTGAGATAATATTAAATTTTTTAATTTATATTCCTTATTGGGTTTAAGTACCCTTAAAAATGTAAAATGTTACCCAACTATGACAAAGTTCTCTTCGAACACAAGGGAGTCCTCATGATTTCGGCAGATTTGGCGCAGGATCTCTCTGCCTGAGTTGAACACCTTCGCGTGTTCGGGATATTGTTGGAGGAACTGCGACGAGCCCTCGGCATCCAACGCGCCATGCATCCTCGTGAAGTCCACAAGGTTCTTTACAAACCTCTTTTCCTTGGTAGCCCAGTAGCCACATCATAATCAGGGCACCCTTTTTTGGGGGTTGACTGCTTTGAAAGGGAACCTTGAACCAAAAAGGAAGGAAAAGGGCACCATTGGGCCACCATGTTTCGTAAGAACTGAACAGGAGCCTCCACCCGGCGCCATGACCCAAAATAACGAAACGCTCAGGGTGCTTGGCACAGAAAGTGCGCGGGTCTGCAAGCACAGCCTTCTTCTTGCCAAGAGACTCAAACTAAGTTGCCAGAAGGACACTAAAGTCGGTTGTTTTTGTATAAAACCGATTCCGGTAATTAAAATTAAGCAAGAACCGAGACTGTTTGTGCAAAACCCATTCCGGTAACCCTAAACCCTAAACCCTAAACCCTAAACCCTAAACCCTAAACCCTAAACCCTACTAAATTAAGCAGGAGCCGAGCCTTGTAGTCCGGATGCCTGGAGTAGAAAGCCGCGAAGTGCTCAGCCGAGATCATGCAACCTGAGCCGTGCTTTAGGGTTTAGGGTTTAGGGTTTAGGGTTTAGGGTTTAGGGTTTAGGGTTTTAGGGTTTAGGGTTTAGGGTTCAGGTTTTAGGGTTTAGGCTTTAGGCTTAGGGTTATTTACACCGCCTTGAAAACCGTGTCGGAAAGGCTCCCTTTTACGAAGAATGGTGACCAAAAGTGGTCCCAAAGCACATCCGAAGACCTTCTTCTTTGAGGAACTTGCCGATATCTGCCAGGAGCTTCTTTTCCTTCGCGCCCCGAGCTTTTTGAACCTCCGGCTGCAAGCGAATGGACAGGCCGGATCCCTCCGCCTTCAGCAGAAATGTGGCACAATGTTTCGCGCAGAACTCACTGAGCTTCCGGTCACCCAGCCGAATCACCTGCGCAGCTGCTGGCTCCTGCTTCTTGAAGCCTCCAAAGTCACCAGAAGTGATCTGGGCGCCGGACTGCGACTCAATGAAATCCGCGAGCTTCTGCGCAGCCTCCTTCTCGCTTGGGGCCAGCAGCAACTTCCAGCTACCGGCGGATGCAGAAATGGCAAAGCGAGCGGGATACTTCTCACAAAACGCTCGGAGGTCCGGCACAGATGGCTGGAAATCCTTCAATTTGGAAGAAGGTACAATGCCGCCAGACTCCTTCAGCAGCTTCACAAGGGCTGTGACAATCTCTTTCTCTTGGGATTTCAGGCGGATGCAGACACTGGGATTAGATTCGCTCGCGTCTACTACAAAGTCTTTGTCGTGAAGCTCGCAGAACTGGCGCAGAGTGCGTCCACCTGAATAAACAACTTTCGCAAGGTCCGGGTACTGCCCTTTGAAGTCAGGAAAGTCGCGGGAGCACAGCAGGCCACCACGTGCGGAAATGAATTCGGTCAGCTTCTGTACGGCTTCTTTGTCACTTATAGCCAGGCAAAGCTTCCAGTGACCTTTTCCAGGATCCACGATGGCGAAATGATCGGGCTGCCTCTCGCAAAACATCCGAAGGTCGGGTAGTATCTCGCGATGTTTCTTGTGCTTCGTATAGAAGGCACCCACATCAGCTGACGAGACGGTACCTCCCCGGTCCGTCAGGAACTGAGTAAGATCCTTGATGGCCTGTTGCTTCCTCGCGAGCGCGGCCATGGGAGGAAGCAGTTGTCGGTTCAAGCTGTGGATCGAAATTGCCTAGTATGGAAGCATGAGTCGAATGGGTATTTCGGGTACAGCGGCTGGTAGTACAGCTACAACAATGGTCGGGGCTAGCTGTTGCTAAGTTGGTTGCTTCACAGGGTTTAGGCGGGTTGTGAGGGCTTAGGGCTTAGGCATAAGGTTTAAGGCGGGCCGAAGGGTGCTCGTGAAAGCTCTATCAGAGTTGTGCCAAAGCCACAGAGCCGATCAAGTTCATGCACGTGGACAACAAGGAGGCAACGGCACGTGGCCGCTCCAAGAATGGTCTTGAAAGCAGTTTGATGAACAGCTGCAGTGGCAGGGCTTCGCTAGGTTTCGTGCAACATTTAGGAGCTCAGGATAAAAAAGAGGGGCATAAGGGGTGTATAAGGGGGGGGGGGGGGGGTTATAAGGGGCGGTATAGAGGGGGGGCATAGGGGGGTATAAGGGGGGATATGCGAGTTATAGGGTTCTTAAAGGAGGGTAGGTGCCGAGGGAACATTAGGGAAGCTTAGGGAGCCTGAGGGAGTAGTGGAGAGTAGTAGGGAACTTTGGGTTCACCCCAAACCCCAAACCCTAAGCCCTAAACCCTAAATCCTCCCTTAAGAACCCTACAATGGAGGTGTAGGGCTTTTAGATTTTCAGATTTATGGCCCAGAGCTAGAGTAGGTTTGGGATGTACCCCTCTATGATGGAATCATAAACGTTAACCCCCGAAACCTTAAACTACAAAACCCTATAAACCCTACATACCCTGCAAACCCTTTAAACCCTCTAAACCCTATGAACCCTATAAACCCTCTAAACCCTCTAAACCCCCTAAACCCCCTAAACCGTAAACCCTAAACCCTAAACCCTAATTAAACCCTAAACCCTAAACCCTATAAACCCTATAAACCCTATAAACCCTATAAACCCTATAAACCCTTTAAACCCTATAAACCCTATAAACCCTATAAACCCTATAAACCCTATAAACCCTATAAACCCTATACACCCTATAAACCCTATAAACCCTATAAACCCTATAAACCCTATAAACCCTATAAACCCTATAAACCCTATAAACCCTATAAACCCTATAAACCCTAAACCCAACTCCTAGGCCAGCTGATGCGTTCGACATCCCCAGCACCGCAGGATGTTTCCGTCAAGCATCCCTGATGTCGAACCGAAAGACATCCCAGCGAAGACCCCTTGTACTACAGTTCAACAACACACACGCCTCTACCTTCTCATAAATTCCAAAGGAGAAACAAGAATTCCCCTGGTATTTCAAACCTTTTTTGGGTACTCATCCGCACTGGTGCGCTGCAGCGGGACACTTGAGGCGGCTGCGAACAGCGGCAGTTTTCAATGAAACGCCTGACGCATTGCCAGACAGTAGACGCTGACACAGCTACCCTAAGCCCTGAACCCTAAACCCTAAACCCTAAACCCTAAACCCTAGACCCTAAACCCTAAACCCTAAACCCTAAACCCTAAACCCTAAACCCTAAACCCTAAACCCTAAACCCTAAACCCTAAACCCTAAACCCTAAACCCTAAACCCTAAACCCTAAACCCTAAACCCTAAACCCTAAACCCTAACCGAAATCAATCTCGGACCTTACAACTGGGTTTTCCCGATCTTGGCTTCACCAGGTGATCGGGCCGGCGTGCTAGTCTGCACTGAACCTAGGCTGGCAATTAGGGTTTAGGGTTTAGGGCTTAGGGTTTAGGGCTTAGGGTTTAGGGTTTAGGGTTTAGGGTTTAGGGTTTAGGGCTTAGGGTTCAGGGTTTAGGGTTTAGGGTTTATAGAAATTGTATAGGGTTTGTGTCCGGAGTTTTGTCGGGTTTTGTCTTTTGTCGGGTTTTGTCGGGTTTTGGGGGTTTTGGGGGGTTTTGGGGGGTTTTGTTTTTTAGACTTACCTTTTAAACTTTCAGGGCTGGGGCTGGGGCTGGGCTGGGGCTGGGGCTGGGGCTGGCTGGGGCTGGGGCTGGGGCTGGGGCTGGGGCTGGGGCTGGGGCTGGGGCTGGGGCTGGGGCTGGCACTGGGCCGGGGCCGGGGGGCTGTGGGGCTGGGGCTGGGGCTGGGGCTGGGGCTGGAGCTGGAGCTGGAGCTGGGGCTGGGCTGGCTGCGGGCTGGGGCTGGGGCTGGGACCCCCCCGCCCCACCCCGCCCCGCCCCAAGGGCTGGGGATGGTGGGGCTGTTGGGGGCTTGCTTGGTGGCCTGGGGACCCTGGCCGAATCTTTTGAACTTTTCTCCTTTTGAGTCTGTTGGTGCCTGAGAGTCACGCTTGTTTTGGTCTTCTGTTTTACACTGTGAAGGATGAAGGGTTATTGCACGAGCTTCTCGTAATGAATCACATACAATTTCTATTTATCCTGGCCTTGAGGGTTTAGGGTTTAGGGCTTAGGGCTTAGGGCTTAGGGCTTGGGCTTAGGGCTTTAGGGCTTAGGGTTTAGGGTTTAGGGTTTAGGGCTTAGGTGTTTAGGGTACATGGACATGTCCCACAGTTTGGATACGTACCCCTCGTAGAACCCCAGTAAGGATGCAGGGTTTAGGGTTCACGCTTAGGATCCCTGCAGAAACGAAGGGGTTTAGGGTTTAGGGTTCAGGGTTCAGGGTTAGGGTTTAGGGTCTAGGTCTAGGGTTTAGGGGTTAGGGTTTAGGGATTAGGTTAGGGTTTAGGGTTTAGGGTTTATTTAGGGTTTAGGGTTTAGGGTTTAGGGTTTAGGGTTTAGGGTTTAGGGTTTAGGGTTTAGGGTTTAGGGTTTAGGGTTTAGGGTTTAGGGTTTAGGGTTTAGGGTTTAGGGTTTAGGGTTTAGGCATCAGGGTTCAGGGTTCAGGGTTCAGGGTTCAGGGTTCAGGGTTCAGGGTTTAGGGTTTAGGGTTTAGGGTTTAGGGTTGCCAGGAGACTGTCAGAAGGCTCTGCTGCTGGAAAGGTGTGCGCTGAATGCTTGCGGGCTTTGCGGGCGGACACCCACCCAAGCCGCCCAGGGGCGCCAACAACTTTGAACAGCAGCAAAGCAATCAAGAAGACGAGAGCATCAAATAGCCTTGGTAGCCCAGTAAGCATATTATAACAACAACTTTTTGGGGTTGGTCACCTTATAAGGGAAGCTTCAACCAAAAAAGGGAAAAGTATACCACTGGGCTAAACCCTAAACCCTAAACCCTAAACCCTAAACGCCAAGGAGCAGAAAATTGTAAATGGTGTGTCGAAGATCGAATTTGATGTACCACGCGCAGAAGTACTCGAGCATCAACATGGCAAGCATGACCAGAATCATGATCACGAGGATGGAGCCTGGTATGGCAGAAAAACACCTAAGGGTTTAGGGTTTAGGGTTTAGGGTTTAGGGTTTAGGGTTTAGGGTTGAGGGTTGAGGGTTTAGGGTTTAGGGTTTAGGGTTTAGGGTTTAGGGTTTAGGGTTTAGGGTTTAGGGTTTAGGGTTTAGGGTTTAGGGTTTAGGGCAAGTTTAGGGGGTTTAGGGTAGGCCCTCGGGATACGTTTTCGATTTCCCCTTATCGGGTTTCAGAGGGTCGTAGTCTTTTGAATATCTTTTCAGAGGGTGTGTTTGGGCCATCCTCGGTTGCACCCTAAACCCTAAACCCTAAACCCTAAACCCTAAACCCTAAACCCTAAACCCTAAACCCTAAACCCTAAACCCTAAACCCTAAACCCTAAACCCTAAACCCTAAACCCAGCAGCAGTTCACCAAGACTTCACAGAAGACTCGGGCCATCGAACCCCGGCTCGGGCAAACTTTCCTTCTCAGGGCGCACGTCAGCCTTGCCACACAGAACCTGGGTAGCCCAGTAGCCATACTACAATAAGGGTACCCTAGGGTTTAGGGTTTAGGGTTTAGGGTTTAGGGTTTAGGGTTTAGGGTTTAGGGGGTTTAGGGTTTAGGGTTTAGGGTTTAGGGTTTAGGGTTTAGGGTTTAGGGTTTAGGGTTTAGGGTTTAGGGTTTAGGGTTTAGGGTTTAGGGTTTAGGGTTTAGGGTTTAGGGTTTAGGGTTTACTATAATCTTGGCTGCACTTAGGAGGGTAGTAAAAACAATTAAACTTTTAGCTGCCTTATTAAGAAACCCAATAAACCCAAAAAAAAGCTAAACTAAAGATCTAAAGTTACAGTAAAGCCACAAAGTAATAAGGGTACCCTTTTTGGGGTTGGTTACTTTATAAGGGAAGCTTCAACCCAACAAAAAGGGAAAAGGGTACCACTTGGGATGTTCCCCCCTATACTATCGGGATTATAATCGGAGGGGGGGGGGGACCTAGAATCCCTACAAAGGACTGTTAGTAAGAGGGGGAACATCCCAAAGTACCTAAACCCTAAACCCTAAACCCTAAACCCGAAACCCTAAACCCTAAACCCTAAACCCTAAACCCTAAACCCTAAAACCCTAAACCCTAAACCCTAAACCCTAAACCCTAAACCCTAAACCCTAAACCCTAAACCCTAAACCCTAAACCCTAAACCCTAACCCTAAACCCTAAACCCTAAACCCTAAACCACTGGGCTACCACGGAACAAGAGGATGGGGACGAGGCCCAGCCACCAGCCCAGCCCCCGAATGCACTCTCTCAACGCGGTGAGCTGTGCCCCCAGAACCTTGGGTTAGTAGGGTTTAGGGTTTAGGGTTTGGGGTTTAGGGTTTAGGGTTTAGGGTTTAGGGTTTAGGGTTTAGGGTTTAGGGTTTAGGGTTTAGGGTTTAGGGTGTAGGGTTTGGGGAATGAGGTACCCCATGTAATCCCTTAAAGGGTATTTCTAGAGGGAGAAAGGGCACCTATACTGAACTTGGAACCCTAGCAACAATGATGATCTTCGCTGCTTCTTAGGAATCATAGTGCCCACAAAAACTGAAAAATTATTACCAAGTATCCTTATGGCCCCCAGGTTCTTAGTAGGGAATGAGCCTATATATACCCTTTAAGGGATTATATAGGGTACCTCATTCCCCTATTCCCTACTAAGAACCAGCCAGAGGAACGTATGAGGGATGCATGTCAGGGCGTATGTATTCCAACGCGTCGGATGCTGTGTCCATGTGATGCCACAGAAGAGGCACTCCCATCGCCACGAACTGCGGGTAGGAGAAGATTGCGGACGAGAGCTGCTCGGAAAGACAGCCAAAGACATCGGAACGCACTTTCTCATCAAAACTCTCAACATCTCCTTGGTAGCCCAGTTTGTGGAGTGCCCAACTCCAGTGTGTCCCCGAAGTGCCCAGCCCCTGAGTGCCTCACCCTAGTGTCCCTGGAGTGCCCAGCCCTAGTGTCCCTGGAGTGCCCAACCCTAGAGAGTTTTTGGAGTAACCAACCCCAGAGTGTCCCTGGAGTGCCTAACCCCAAAGTATCTCTACCCAAGAAGAGGGTGGGGATCTTCGAAGTAAAAAATAATCTAGGGAACCAAAAAAAACCCTAAGAGGTACCACTGGGCTACCACGTCTCCAAACCAGCTGATGACGCATCTCGTCAGAATGCGCTTGTCGCAGGCCATGGCTGCGCCATCCGGGTCCAGATGGCCAACCGTGCAGCAATGACAAAGACAGCTCTCCTTGGTAGGGGATAGGATTAGGGGGACCCTTGGGGATATAGACCCTCTGAATAAGGTCCCTGTTTAAGAGAACCAGAAGAGGGTTAAGAAGGGGTTCCCGTTTTAAGGGTCCCCCTTATCCTACCTAGGACCTTGGATGGCTTGGGATGTTCCCCCTTATACTAACAGTCCGTAATGGAGATGATTGAGATGATGATAGGGGGTTGCTGGAATGCCTACTAAGGACTGTTTTTATAAGGGGGGCAACATCCCAATGGATGGCTCTTGAAACCCCAGAATGTTTGATGTAATGTAATCCTCTTAAACCCAAAATGGATATCCTAAATATACTTGTCTTGAACCAAGAACAACGGACACTACGAAACCATGCCGAGGCCATACCTTAGC